CGTCACCGTGTGGCGGGGCGGGAGGCAGTCCTGCCGTGTCTAGTGGCCCCACTCTTCTTCCCTTTCACTGACGCCCTCTTCTTCCTCTGGAAACGCTGACTCGCTCTGACTCTTCAGATGTTTAATCCCTGAAGACAGAGAAAAATGGTTAATGTTGCCTTAGCTTGCACCGGACATTTATTTCCTGAAGGAAAAAATGCAAGCTAACAACAAATTTTTACTGCGTGTTTTGACTCCCTTTTTCACACACCTCTAAGTTCAAAGAGTACTGTGATGTATTTGCAACGGAAACATTGTCTTCCTTAAATACAGGTCTAAAGAAATTTATCCTATTTTGTTGAAAAAACTACTGAAAGATGACTTGTAGAACAGAACAGTATTTGCTTTGCTTTTTTTCTTTGTAAGCTTTAATCAGATGAGTATTGCCCATCTCAAGCAAGTTAAAAGTTTTCAAGGCTGAGGCAGTAGACAAGGGAATTATCCTACTAGAATTTCAACTTCAGCCTTTTTCTGAGACCGATTTGCTGAAGGTCTTTGCTCACATGGACCCAGTGCCCCACAATCACAGCTTCTCATGTTCACCAGAGGTGTTCTCCTCTGTGTATCCCCATAGCCTGCAGATGACCTGCAGAGCTGTCCTGATGCAAAGTGGGCACAGCACCCGAGAGCGAGGAAACTACTGGTGCCTAGACCATGAAACTGGCCAGTTTCAGCCAGCAAGTGGAGTAGACTCCATGAAAATTAATTAAATTGCAAAGTTATTTTTCCCTGTCCCACGTTCAGTACAAGCAAGCAGGTCTCAATGAACAAGCCTAATCCCATCTTCTCAGCTCTGCCTTGGTGTGATAAAAGACTTCAAGCTAAATATGGAGGCAAAATCAAGCAAAAAAGGCGACAGAAAGGAGAGACCAGAGGCGAAAGGTTATTTTCAAAAAAATCTAACCAGCAAATGCACAAGATTAGTTCCTGGGTCTGCTGTTTTTTGACAAAAACTGTTGTAGTGGGAACATAACTGTTAGTCAAAAATGCATGGTTTCAACAAAATGTGAGTTTTAATTAGGTTTTCTGGTGTTGTTACTGCTGTAACATGGAAACATCACAGATCGTATATAGTTCTACTCACCATTGCTAATTATCAGAAAAATAGCTTCCCTTTTGCATCAGTTCCTCTGCTTGTTTAGGAGAAGTAACAGCCCAGCTGCTTTAGATAACCACAGCTGGATAATAAAACAGTTCACTGTCTTAGCACTAGTAGAGGAACAATTTTCAAAAAGAGCTGTACCCTTAAGACATACAGGGCAAGATCCAGATCACCTCAAATTGTAAGAGAAGTTGATAGTGTACCTCCAAGAGTCATGGCCCCAACATCACTTAATCTGGAGGTTCCTATACTTCATTGTTTATGTCCACACCACTCCAAAATATGGGATAGTTTTTTCCAAGTACATCAGTTGAAAAATATTTCAACATAAGTTATCCCAGTTCAAGAAAGTTCCAAACAGCTGAAAACAGGATCTTACAATAGGTTGTACAACAGGAGTGCAGCCAGCTCAACTTCCACCAGGAGCCCATCACTGCTCTGTGCTGGGCTCTGGGCTCCTCTCTCTATTTTTTTTTTCCATACAGATGACAGTACTTTGTTCCCTGGGAAACTGTTGTTGAGATGTAAAACAAGCAAATAATTAATGCTCCCAAGCCACAGTAAGTGTGCCCTGCAATAATCAAACCGTTTCCAATTCAGTGACTGTGATACATGAAGAAAAGTTTGGCCTGTTCAGCTACTGTTAAGGTGGCCTCTTTAGCAACACCCTTTAGTAAGACAAACACTTTAAATATGATTTCACCTAACTATAGGTTAATGGACGTGCCTATCAAAATATTTTGTTTGCAGGGCAAATCTGTGTCCTGTTGTTTACCTCTGGACTATAGCCATTTTTTTTTTCACATTCACAGTACCTGTCTACCAGCTGCTATTCCGTACTTCAGACAGGAACTGCTGGGAGCCAGAATACATCATTTCTTAGCGAGTTTTACAAAGGCGAAAAAGGGACAGTTAGACAGAAAAGACGACATGATATATAGTTAGTATGATGAAGCTAATGGAACGGTAATTTTAGTAGGAGTGAAGCCTTTTGGCTATGTGGTTTAGTTGCAATATTCTACGTGAAAATTGCAGGAAGCGGGGAGAAATTACATCAATGAGCATTACCCATTGATTTTCACATAGCAGGCAACTATCAGTCTTATTTAATGATTTTTTTAGAACCTCTGTTCCACAGCCTGCTTTTGCCTCTGCCAGTCATTTAATACAAGAGTGTCTTTTGGAAGTAAAGACTCACAGGGTCTCCAATGTTCACCCAAAAGTGCACAAGACTCAATGTCATTAGTCATAAGTCTCAAGATGTTCTGACAGCATCAGGTTGTCAGAATTAACAGACCCTGTGTGTGGCATTATGAAATCAGATGGTAGCTACACAACAAAGTAAGTTAGTATGATTTGACGTGCAGGTAATGAAATTCCTGTCAGTAACATATGAACATGCATTACAGAAAAGGCTGGTGGCTTTCCTGAAAAGACATATTTCCTGCACAATGTCAGACTCTTACAATGCCAAAAAAAAAAAAAAAAAAAAAAAAAATCTGGGATAATAAAAATACTTAGTTAAATTATAATAATCAGAGATTGCTTTAGATGAAAAGCATTATCTAGCTACACCACAGGCAGTAACCCAGAGTGGCTGCCAAGGCGTGGTCAGGAAGTGCTGGACCCCAGGAGTACACTGGCACATTCATACACAGCTCCTGCTCAGCTAAAACAATTCAAAAGAAGAGGCTGTTACAGTGGTTCTCGAGTGTCACTCCAGCAGGGTTATTCAAGCTGTGTGCCCTGTCCTTTGTCAACACAAAGCAAGTGATAAGCAGGTAGCAAGGTGGAGCTCTATTCACAGGGATATTTATTTCTAAGTTGGATCTATTAATAGCCGGTATCTTTGATTAGCAGTCTCTAAAGTGCTTGCTGAAAGGTTACATTCTCCTAGAGACTGAGCAAAGACTTATTACTCAGGCCACCCCAACCATTTTCATAACTGCTACTATGGTAATGTTAATTTATTAGAAAGGAAATTTCCTTCTCATCTTTTCAATCTTCATACACCGGTAACACAGTTCATGTCCTTGGCTTTCTCAAACAGTGCTCAAGAGGCGCTAGGACGCTGTTGGTCGGAGCTTGTTTCTATTTGTTGATTAGGCATGGTAGTAACAATGAGCAACAAATATAGACTCTAAGATTTTACTCATAGAAACAAAACAAAGCCAGGATCTATGGGGGATGTTTTAGAAGATGTTTGTACATACAGCAGTTCCAAGTTAGCAACATCAAGTTACTGGTTCCACATAAACTGCACAAGCTTCATCATATCAGTTGCAAACGGGGAGCACTGCAAATGCTGATCTGCAGAGACACTCTGTCTCACCAGAGTTCCCTGTTCCAGCCAGTGGGTAACTCTGAATTTGTGGGCACCCTCACCCTCCATAAGTACTGTGCCTGCATCGTCCTGATGCTTTTGGTTCTCTTACTGCTCTGCCCTCATCCTGGGTTCCCCTGCCCAGGCTCATCCCTTGTATGTGGAGATGGGTGGCTCGTGGGGTCCGAGCCATCCCCCAGTCCTCACTGCTGCTCTGCAACGTCATGCCCTGGCTGGGGCTTTGCTCTTCGCTGGGAGGTGTGTCAGGAACCCCCTCCCCCCAGCCAGCCCAAAGACTGCCCACTTCTCCCCGGCAACAATTTCATGCCCACAGCATGTTCGAACTCACTCTCATTCTGCCTTAAAACAAAGCCTGTCTGAACGCTGCCTCTTGATTGCCCCCCCACCCTCCTGCTCCCCCTTTTATGCTTCTAAAGCCAGCAGGACAAGAATTGTTTTTCCTCAAAGGGCTCCTATTTCACTGCAGGTAATTTAATCCAATTAGTGCTGATGAAGAGATCCTTAATGCCAAGCCTTATTCAGCAGCCGCGCACTAATACACTTTGAACCGGTAATTCTTTTTAGATGAAGTCACTACCTCAAAGCATATTTCTAGATTGCTTATAAATTATGAGTGCAAATGGGATAACTTTTTGGCATTTTTGCAGTCACATAATAACATCTATGCTGTTTAATCAACAGCTGTCTTTTTTGCTTCTCTGGATCTGCCCAAAGCACCAGATTAGAAGGCTAAGCAGTGTGACAAGATACAAAATAACCAAGTCTTCCTGGATTAAATATCTCCTGGAAAAAAAAAATACAAAATCAGTAATTAAGGCAGCTCCCCATCTCAAGTGATTAAAGCAGCTCCCTATCCTATTTAATACTTCTTCCTTCACCCCACTTCACTGCCAAAGGAACAATGCTGACATTTAACAAAGTCAGTTAAGTCTGGTTGGCAATTTGAATTCCCTTATGTTTGAAGGGTTATTTATTTTTACAGTTTGGAGCTGATCCTGTCCCTATCAAAAACAGACTTCCAGATTTTCAGAAAGCAGTGAAAGGTGAAGATGAGCCACAGACAAAGAAGTCTGATTTTCAAAGTTTCAGAACTCAAATAACTTTGAAACTATCAAGCCAGAGATGATAACAATGAAATAAAAATGTTTACTTTATGCTGATCCTAAATAAAATATGTTCTCATTCCCTCAGCAAAAATGAGAATATTAAAACACAAATCATGTATTCACACCACTAAACAGGAAAAAGAACTTTTCTTTTTTTATGGAATATTTTTTTTTTAATTTATCAGTCAAATATGTTTTGACTTCTCTGAAATACCTTCCTGATCTTTTTTTTTTTTTCCCTCCTACGAACTGAAATGACATTCATTAAAAAAAACAAAAAAACAAAAAAACAAAACAACATGAAAACCCCAAAACTAATGTCATGAGGAATGGCATCCATCACAGGTCATTGGCTAAGCTGAATGCAGTGGGAGGCAGTTGTTAAGGTGGCAGAGCCTAGAAGAGCTGGTAGGTCTTTAAGGGAAGCCTCCTTTAATATTTTGACCAAGGTGAGAGCTTCAAATGCCTCTTTTCCCCAGAACAGAGATGAAGCATCTAATGACATCAGTCAGACCAATCTCAAGAGCAAGATTTCTT